TTATTTGTTTCAGAGGTACAGGTCTGTGATTCATCAGTCTTACACAATTCACAGCGCTCACCATAGCACATACCCTCCCCAATGTCCATCACCCACCCGCCCCATCCCTTCCCCCTCCACCACTCCAGCAACCCTCCATTTGTTAACTGAGATTAAGAATTCCTCATATCAGTGAGGTCATATGGTACATGTCTTTCTCTGATTGACTTATTTCTAGGGTTTCTTTTAATTTAAACATTTTAAAATAGTAGGGTTGGCCTCAGAACAGTTGTCTCAAGCATCCCTTCCACTAATCTTCACTAAGTCAGCAACCAAGAGCCTACTGGAGTTTGAGTAGCCTAACAAGGTTTTCTCCCCTCCCTGGTACTCTTGTCTCTCTAGGGGATTGTCAGATGTGCTTAGGCAAGAATTCTGAGCTCAGTAGAAGCATGGACAAATGTGATAAGAAACTGACTTTTCCTCCCTTTTTCTTGGTCAGTGTGCTGGAGAAGAGAAAAGAGTTGGTACACGCACAGTGTTTGTTGGCAATCATCCAGTTTCAGAAACAGAAGCTTACATTGCACAAAGATTTTGTGATAATAGAATAGTCTCATCTAAGGTAAGTTGTTTTTTTAATTCAATAGATGCGTGTAGTGATTCATATAGTCAGCCAGATAATGCACTTATTTGTGCTTCCAAGGAAGCTGGTTTATTTATATAGGCATACATGGATGCGCACCTATACCGTATACCAACTGTGGTAATTATTCCACCAAAAGGCTGTTTTTCTTAAAAAGTATCACTCTGTCTTGTTATAGCTGAAATATTAGTCACTTGCTTTCCATTATCATTCCTAGTGCCTGTTGATGATACATATTACGTTAAGCCTTAAAGGGTGCTAAAACTAGGAATTATTGACTTGCCCAAATCTTCCTGAATTTCTCTTAAGTGCTTGCACTAGGTCCTAAATAATTTACATTCTTTTGGAGGGTGCTATCCTAGAATGACATTTATATCTCTTTCTGTTCCACTGGGGAGCTCCTCAAGTACACTCCTGGCCTGACCATTTACTAGCTTTGTGACCTTGGCCAAATTAATCTCCAAGTCTGTATGTCCTCAACAGTGAAATGGAGCTGATGTTCCATACGTAAAAGCATTCTCTTTGGTCCCTAGTACCAGTCGTCCTCATTCTACTAATATTAGCTTGCTAATCTTTACCTTTGGCTGACCAGGTTAGGTACTAGGTGCTAAATGGCAGATAATTGATAGATTGACAGATCTTGATAGATTTTCCTTACTTCACGTAGCCTGGCAAGGCAGATGTAAAATGTTAGTGACAATTGGATCACTGCAAGTTTGCAAACACCTAGGACCTGAAACAAAATTATGGCCTTCCTTTAAAAATTTAACATTTGGTTTTCAAACACATGTGTGATTTCTCTTGAGCTAGTGATGTATACAGATTATACTTAAGTAGGAGATTAACATGTAAAATATGGACAGAATGAGTGAAAACTGTTGCCTGATGAGCATGTATCTATTGGCCTATAGAGCACTCTGTCTTTGGATAAAATGTCTATTTCCTGTTCATCTTGAACCTTATGGCAGAAAATCTGTCATCAGCCAGAAGTTTTCATACCTGTGCCCAGGATAGTGACTAGTCCTTTGATTGAAAATTGTAACTCCCCTGTAGGATCCAAGACAACAGTAGTAGTCCTTTGACTCAGAATCATAGACTTATAGAACTGAAAGATCCTGCGAGATTATCTGTTCAACTTGCTGACTCTACAGATGGAGAAAGCAAACCCAGAGAAATTAAGTTAGTGCCATGGTCACCAAGCAGAGTGAGCGATAAAGTCAGGAGCAGAACTGCTTTATAAGGTCTAGTGGCTCTGAATAAAAAGCCCTTTTCACGTCATTGTGCTATTGGGGCTCCTTTCTCTGTTTTCTCTCACATTTTGCATCAAAATCTAAAATACTTTCTAGGGAAGTACTGTTTTCCATAGTGTTTTATGTGGAAGATGATAATGTAACACACTGATGGGAAAGTGACTTTCGTTGAACTAACTATAACCATTTTGTTGTAATATACTTCACGATTTCGCATTGTAAAAGAACTAGAACACTCTGTTTAATTGTCAAATCTTTTCATATTTAATATATTTCTCGTATTTTATCTAGCTTCAGTTTTGCCAATAGGCAAAACGATACATTAGGATATTTTTTTAAATAGTTAGGAGCTCATGAGGCAAATAAAGTTTGTTTCTGAACTGATTTGCATATATGTCTCTGTATCTGTATATATCTTTTAGAAATCAGAATAAAGAAGTGAACATTTGTACATTGAATAGACTAACATTTCTCTTTTCTCTGTAAATATTATATGTTTACAGTTTTGCTAATTTACCTGTCATCTAGTTTACCAGTGATCTGCTTTTTCCTAAAAGCTCTAGCGCAGAAAAAGAGGAATTGACAGTATACTAACTTCAGAAAAAGAATGAAATCTTAATACAATGAATAATTAGAAGAGGATAGCATATCAGTGTAGTGGTAAAGAGCTTCATCCTTGTAGACAGAAGACCTGGGTTTGAATTTAAAGTAAGGCATCGAACCCTTCTGTGTCTCAGTTTTCTTATCTGTAAAATGGAGATATTAACAGTACTTACCTCAGAGGCCTGGGTGAGGCCTTTGGGTCCATTCTGGAGAGAACAATATTTTCATAATTTTAAAAATTTTTTTTAAAGATTTTATTTATTTATTTGACAGAGAGAGAGAGACAGCTAGAGAGGGAACCCAAGCAGGGGGAGTGGGAGAGGGAGAAACAAGCTCCCCGCTGAGCAGGAAGCCCAATGTGTGGCTCGGTCCCAGGACGCTGCGATCATGACCTGAGCCGAAGGCAGACGCTTAATGACTGAGCCACCCAGGCGCCCCAATATTTTCATAATTTGAACTTTTCCTTCCTCACATTGTCTTTTGGCTGTTTGTATTTTCACCAGAATCTTTTAATTGAAGAAATGTACAATTTATAGCATATGTTAGCTGCCTTCCAACTTCGTAGCAAGTGTTGATTTCCTTTTTTAACCCTTTGATGATAAAAATACCTTTCCCTTAATAGGTGCTTTCTGTTTACCAATGCCACCAGTAATTCCCAGTAAAGACTGGGAATAAGTCTTATTAATGCAGGGAACACTGAAGATAAACACTTTGACCTACCTTAAATTTTACTTACTGTTAAAATTAGTCTTGGGGTGCCTGGGTGGCTCAGTCGTTAAGCGTCTGCCTTCGGCTCAGGTCATGATCCCAGGGTCCTGGGATCGAGCCCCACATCGGGCTCCCTGCTCTGCGGGAAGCCTGCTTCTCTCTCTCCCACTCCCCCTGCTTGTGCTCTCTCTCTCGCTGTATCTCTCTGTCAAATAAATAAATCTTTAAAAAATAAGAAGATTCTTACTCTCTGTCTCCCTCCCACCCTTCCTGCCCCCTAAATTTTTTTTCACAAATCAATTTTTATTATACACAAATAATCATATACATAAATAATGCAGTGAAGCCATAAATAAATCAAGTATTTATTTGATGTGGTCTTTCTTCAATATACTGAAAGTTACACATTGCTAATTTATGATGAATCTTTTAAGCATGTTTTAGGAATAATTACAGGTCACCTATTAAATTTATAGCAGCACCCAATCTTTATAGTGCACAGCAGCTTCGAATCCAAAGCTTTTGGGAGGAGAGAAGGGAGATTTAGAGACAGCATCAGTGACCATATGCTCTGCCACAAAGGGAGAAATGGCTTGCTAATTTTACATCCATGACATCAGATCAACAGTTCCAAAGGACTAATGGCTTATGTTATAGACAGCGGCCTCCAGAGGACTCCTTGAGTGGCCCTCACTTATGGGCAGACATGCCCCCTGACAACCTCCCTGGCCAACTGTAGTCCTCCTCATGCAAGCTACGGAACAGTATTTTCAGGGCTAAGCATTCTCTGCCAGTGGGCCATAATTCACCCCGTCCCTTTGTATAGGGGTGACCTCAGAATTGCCTGCGTCTCTTCTGTAGAGCCAGAAACTTTCTTCCTGTAAATAACACATTTACACCTGAATTATGTTGAGGCCATTGCCTAGTTCTGTGCTGCTGACCCAGTTCCTGGAATTTTAATGTTCACATAGTTGGTTAGTACCTGCAAGCTTCATCCTCTTCTCAAGTAAATATCCTTTACAGTCCTTTAAGATGATCTCTGGGTGTTTTGTTAATCCTACAATAGGCAGTCTTTTAAGTTCTTTACTGTTAAGAAAGTGGAGGCTCACCTAAGCCATAGGGATATAATATGGTGTATAATATAAGCATAAGTATCAACAGTACTTCCCAGGGTCATGTCTTTATTGCTTCTCCTGTTCCTTCCAACCCTTGCCCTAAAAGCCTTCACCTACAGAGAAGGTGCTGTTTTCAAGAACAGATTTCTTTAAAGACATTGTAATTTGAGCCAAGAAGTTGCCGCAAGAACATGGTTGAATGAAAGGCTAGAAATACTTTACCGTAGAAGGGGCTACCTTTTGTGAGGCTTGAGTCACAACTCAGCCCCTCCCCATTATTTTCTTGGTTATTCAACTCAACCTTCCTCCAGAATGGAATCTTGTTTTTTACCTACCTCTTTTGTTGGGGATGTTAAAATAACACCTACAGCCTTGGATGTGCTATTTAAACCAATTACATATACATCCTGGACATTTATTTTCTAGCTAGTTTGCTTTCTGTATAGTATTTAACAATACCAGGGGGGAAATGCATTCATTGGTTCCACTGGACATACTCCAGCATACATTTGAACTGTTAGACCTTTCTAGAAACTTAGCATCACCTTTATAATAATGATTCTATCATTGAAATGGGAGATAAAACCCTGTTCGGGACTTCAGACACCTCTTTTACAATATACTTTTTTGTTCTAGCCAGGGTTTATCTTTTCCTACACTGTAATGAAAATTCTTCACTGGTGACCTAGAAAGTGGTATTTGGATGAGAATTTGTCTCTTCTAGGTAGATATTGGTAAAGGCATTTTTCACCCTAATATCCATTGGTTCCTTTCCTTGCCATTGTTAGGCATTACTGTTTGCTGCTGAGATAAAACTTCCTTACCTGTGAGAGCTCTAAAAAGTGATAAAAAATCCTTCAGCCCTAAGGGACTTCACAAAAACCATCTGCTTAGGCTATATAATATATATATGTGTGTGTGTGTACATATATATATATATAGCTATTTTGCTATACATTTTTGAAACTTCAACATACAGTAATAGTCACTCTCTGGTGGTGGGGTGACTCAGTGTATCATAGCGAATGCCTAGATTGTATCTCTTCCTCTTAAACTATTTACCTGACTAGAACCCAAAGTTCAACTGAAATTTTGTCTAAAGTTTGATTTTTTTACTTCCACTTCTTGTCATGGTCCATCTATTGTAGGCATGGGTTAGAAAAGAACTTTACAAGATGAGGAAAAAAATACTATGTGGTGCAAGACACTAATATTTTAAAATGATACTTTGAAATCAAAAGTTACAAAGGCAAATCAGGTGTTGGGAGAAGAGTAACAAAAAAGATGTCAAATGGTGTGATAA